TTTTTTTTTTTTTTTTTTTTAATGGATAATGTTTTTGGTGTCGTTTCTAAGAAATCTTTGCTTACCCGGCCTGGCGTGGCTCAGCTGTTGAGCATCGACCTAGGATCCAGGTGATTGGGGTTTGATTCCCGGTCAGGGCACATACCCAGGCTGCGGACTCAATCAATGACTCTCTTATCGTTGATGTTTCTCTCTCTCTCTCTCTCCCTCTCCTTTCCTCGCTCTGAAATCAATAAAGATATAAAAAAAAAAAAAAAGAAATCTTTGCTTAACCCAAGGTCTCAAATGTTTTCTACAAGTGTTATAGTTTTAGGGTTTTGGTCCATTTTGAGTTAATTTTTGTGTATGGTATGAGGTGTGGGTACATGTTCTCTTTTTGGCATATGGCTATCCAGTTGTTCCTGCACCATTTGTTGAAAAGACTGTCCGTCTTTACTGAACTTGCACCTTCGTTGAAAATCAGTTGTCCATTTGTATGTGGGTCTGTTTCTGGACTCTATTCTGTCACACTGATCTGTTTTTTTTCCTTATGCTCATACCACATGGTCTTCATTACTGTCACTTTATAACAAGTCTTGAAATCAGATAGTGTTAGTCTTTGCTTAATTATTAAAATAATTATTTTTGATTCGTGTGTAGGGTTTAGATTTTGTATGCACTCAGTAATTAAAACGTCAGTATATTCAGTATACTAATAACTCTGAACATCATAGGCGTGGAAAGGAAGGTGCTGGGAAAATTAAACGACATTTCCCCAGATAACTTAGTGATGGTGTAGTACTGAATTTAGATTTTGAGAATGTTTGTCTGCCCTACTCTGCCTTGTTCAGCCAAGAAAGCAGGCTGGTGTTTTTGGTCTTCCCTTACATTTGCTTTTGTTCATCATAATGTCTGATGACTTGAGCTGAGAGGAGCAGAAAACTTAGCTTGTCCTGAGACTCTTGGCTTTGGTTTATCTCTTGCAGGTCAAGTACATTTTGTCCCAGGCTCTCCCTCGTGGCCGTGTGTTTGTGTTTTTCCCGTGGGAGTAAATAAACTTGCCCCGCTGAGAAATCACAGATCTATGTCTTTATTAATGTCATGTCCCATGTGAGCTCAAGGTTTTGGCCAGAGCTGCTCCAGTGCAGGGGCCCCTGCTGAGATCCCTTGCCCTTCCCGCACATGGTCAGTGTGGAGACTGTCCGTGAGTCCCGCAAGGTCCTGGGAAAGCAGAGCCAACTCCTGTTTGTGTTTGTTGCTCTGCAGAACAATAGAGGACATGGTGCTTATTCCCCTTTCCCTTTGGGAAACACGGGCAGCCCTTGCCATTCAGCGCTGGCCTTTTTAAGGAAAGGAAAGGAAAGACAAGTAAGGAAAGGCTGATGGGAAAGAAATCGATTCATTCACAAGATGGTGTTGGAGGAGAGCTGTAGGGACGCAGGACAGCCAGGTGGAAAGCCTTGTGGAGGCAGCTTCCTTTCATTGCCTCAACAGGGCAGAGATGCTGACCAATGGAACTCCAGAGGAGGTGATGATTTATAAAGACTTAGCTGTCCACGCCCATGAAAAGCTGCCTTAACAACTGTTTTCCTGGCCTCTGTTACTCAGACTGCTTGTCCCTATTCGCCGCATCTTCTTCACGACTTATCCTTTGCCTATAGAACATTACATTTTAATTAGAAAAGAGGAAAATTCTTCTAATCTGCACAAAGTACCGACCTCTGACCTTTCTCCACAAGGACAAAGGTAATGATTTTTTCGGGAGCTGCGAGTAAGAAAGATATGTGCAGTATCACTTTATATTTAGACAAGAAACTGAAATTAGATTTTGGATCTGTAGTTTTAAACTCCCTTCCAGGCATAGCAGCCTTGAGAATAAGTTCCTGAAATTATTGGCCTGCTTGCCTGTTTCTCCACATCACTGGGGGAAGGGGGTGCAGAGATACAATATTTTCTTCTTGGTCCATCCGCCTTTTTTTTTAAAGACTCACTTGACATAAGTTCCTAGCCTCAGAGAGCTAAGCCTTTGCAGGACCCACATTCACTAACGAGGGCATTTGGTCTCTGGTGTGAGTTCCCGGCGAATAGTTTGGGTTTAGAAACTCTCGCAGGCAGGAATTCTCTCTTCAAGCCCGCTCAGCACAGGGCTCATGTGTTTTAGAAATTTTGTTTAGACATTGACTTGAGGCTCTTTTTCACAAATGGTGGTGGTGGTGGTGGTGGTGTGTGTGTTTTCATCCCTTTCTATGAGGTGGGTGGTACCCACCTGGGCCATGTTAGGACCTGAGATCCTTACTATTAACTGACAGTGCCCAGAGTATGACCTGTTAGAAGGAATTGTCAGGGGCTGGCAGGTTTGCAGATGTTAAGACCCAGTCAGAGGAGGACACTCTTCCTCCCCTCTCCCTTCTCCATGTGACTTTCTCTCCACGCCCCACCTTTCAGTGTTTTAGCCTACCTGGTCTTTCTTTACTCCCCGCACATTTATTCATTCAACAGCCATTTGTCTGGTGCCTACTGTATACACAGGGAGGACTGGAAATTTATGTTTCTTCCCAGCCTGTCTGGATACACCGTATTAATCACCTTGTTGATAGACTCAAATGGAGTCCTGCTAATTTGCCTTCCTCCCCCCTTTCAGGTAATACAGGTGCATTTACATAAATTTTGTTTTTATAGACTAAGCTCTGTTGTTTGCACTCACACTAGGTGGGAGATGGGGTTGGGGCTTAGAGATGTGTGGCCTTACTACCCTATATTACAAGTGTTCATAATGCTTGAGGCCAGCCCTGTAATATAATATGAATTCCTTACCCTCACTGCAGCCTTAGGGCTTGAATGAACTCTACCTGTTTCTTATTAAGTGACAAATACACTGCAAATCACAAAATTGTCAGTGATTGGACACACCTGTTAAATCTATAATTGGGAATTTTTGATAATTACAAATACTTTTTGAAAATAAATATGTAAGGAAGAAGAGTTTACAAGATATCAAAGTTCAAGTAGATGGGTTATGGAATAGAACTTCTAATTCTATGCCCTTTGAGATAATGTAGACACAGCCCCTGAAGCCATGAAGTTAAGTTTATGAAAAGGCAGCGTAACATAAATGGCATGCCCATGTGAAACTGACGTAATTGTGCAGGAGCAGAATCTGTCCTTCCATGTCTTCTGCCAAAAATAACAGTGATAACAGCAGTGATAACTAATGCTTATTAAGCCCTCACTCTGCCCAGCCTTGGTGCTAAGTGCCGGTTACTAAGTTTCCTCTGTAAACATCACTCACCCCTGTTCACTCTTAATAACACAGTAGGTATAATTACAAGTTGTAAATGAAATAATATAGTTGATTTAATCAATGGGTGAAGAACCTTATCTCCTGTTGCCAATCTGCCTGACGAGTGACGCGTGTAAGTGGTGGTTCGCTACCTAGTCTCACCATCAGCAATTATTATTTCTAGTACTCAGTCGGTTCTTACCTGATTGGTGGTCCTGAGGATGATATTTTCCCTTATCTGTATGCTACCAGCTACGGTAATTTTTAAAAATTTACTGATTTTTGAGAGAGAGAAACATCAATTTTTGTTGTTCCACTGACTTATGCATCATTGGTTGATTCTTGTATGTGCCCTGACTGGGGATCGAACTTGCAACTTTGGCGTATCAGGACGACGCTCTAACCAGCTCAGCTCAGCTCCCCGGCCAGGGCCTAACTACAGTAATTTTAATAAGAATTTCCAAAGTAATGTCTTAAGGCACCTGCGCAAAAGCCAAAAGCTTGTCCCAAAGCCTCCCCATGCATTTGGAATCACCAAGTTTTGGTATTTTCACCGGGAAGAGAACCTTTGCCAGCTGACATCGGTGCCTCCTCCTGACCTTGCAGGATCATTCTGTGACAGACACCACCCAGGGCAGGTGGGAACTGTGTGGATGTGGGAGATGGCCGTGGTGGGGCTCGCCCAAGGCTGCCTTCTTCGCTCCCTCCCGGCCACATGTGTTTATTGAGGAATAACTTGTCGAGCCCTTTGCTAGGGGCTGGAGGTACACATGGGAGAGAAATAGATACCTTCTCTGCGCTCATGGGGCTGCCGGTCTAGTTTGTAACCTGGCAGTTGTAGAAATGTGTGATTGGAGCCCATGTTGGTAGCACCCACGGGGACCTTGTGGTGCATTGAGAAGGTAGGATGGAGGGGGATCTGAATGTGGAGAAAAGGGAGTGCAAAAGGCCACGTGTGGCGCATTTGAGGAAAACAGAGGTCGCTAGAACTGGAGAGTCAAGTCAGGCCAGATCTTGCAGGTCCTGTTAACATCTTTGACCTGATTGTGTTTGTTTTCTGTTTAAAAATGAAATCTCTAGTTCCTAAGGTGAAATTATACAGGCTGGTTCTGTGCTAAGCATTTTATGTGTGTAATTTATTTCCCTCTCAGAGCAGTGCTGTGAGTTAAGTTTTTCTAAGCATGGCCTGAAACCCAGAAGCCATAAAAGAAAAATCTGCTGAATTGAATCCCACCCAGGTAAATTTCTGTGGGGAGAAAGATACCACAGACAGAGTAAAAAGGGCGATAAACCTAAGATAGATATTTGTCATGCATATAATAAAGGATCATTTTCTGGTTATATCAAGAGCTCCTATAAATCAGCAAGAAGAACATCCAGTAGAAAAGGAGCATGACAAACTGGCAGTTCACAGAAAGGGGGGAGAAAGTGGGCTGAAAACACGAAAAAGTGCTTAGTCTCACACAGAAATGCAAACTAGAATGGTGCCATTTTCCGTGATGCAGAATCGACAAAGATGATAATCTGTGTAGTATTGGTAACAGTGAGAGAAAACAGGGACTTTCACAGTCGGTTTGTGGAAGTCGAAACTGGTGTCTTCTTTTGAGTTAAAAAAAAGTCTTGACATAGCAATTTTATTTCTAAAAATTAATTTATGAATTATACTTGTAAAAGTATGTACAGATGATTGTAAAAGATGTGTTCTGCTGTGTTATTTGTAGTAACAAAAACGTAGAAAGAACATCAGTGTCCTAGAATAGGGGTTAAATTATGGATGGTGTAGTCATACAATGGAATACTGTGTAGCTATTAAAAAGAATGTGCTGATACAGAAAGATCTTCAAATTGTTGTAAGTGATGAGGAGGATTCCGTGTATGTGTGTGTGTATTTCACATGGGTGGGCATGGAGGCATAGTGTGTTTGCACACGTGCACATGTAGATAAGCATGTATATGTGAATGCATGAGACGTTTCTTAAAGATTCAGAAACTGCTAACTGTAGTTGCTTCTGAAGAGTGCACCTGGGAGTCTGAAACTTGGGCATTTTCTTTGAATTTCATACCTACCTGTGCTATTATAATAAACGAATTAAAAAGATTTTAGAAAGTTTGTCTTTTGTTCCAACCAATCCGAAAGGACACCGACGCTATAAAAAATTAGAGAAGCCTGCATTAGCTGGCTGAGAGAGGGAAAGGTTAAATGGGAATGAAAGTCAGGCTACCCAAAGGAAAAGGCCTTGGTGGAAGCTGTAAACATTGCACTTGAGGCTGCCACCATAGTGGTCAGGCGGAGGACAACCGTGAGAAGTTTTGTTAGAAGCTGATTTTACAAAAGAAGGAAGAGACGACAGTGGTGACAGTAAGGGAACAGACCCTCCGGTAGATTGTGAGCGTCACTGGACCATACTGGCTAGGCTCAATTTGTACTTTTGTCAGCCACTCGACTCACAGGCATTTCCGCTGTGCAGATGTATCACCAGTTATCCTTTGTCATTGCTCTCTCTCTCTTTCTCTTTCAAGATGGTTTCACCCAAATATCACTGGCGTGGAGGCCGAAAACCTACTGTTGACAAGAGGAGTTGATGGTAGTTTTTTGGCAAGGCCCAGTAAAAGTAACCCCGGAGACTTCACACTTTCCGTTAGGTAAGTGGGAAGAAAAGGAGAGACTCCCCAGAGTGTTTTCCAGGTAGGAAACGTTGAAACCACACTTGGACCACTTGCTGCCCTTGTGTAGGGTTTGAAGGCCCCGCCCGCCTATCAGACCTGATTCAGGCCTGCTTGTGGGCCTCGGGGTGCAGCCTCCTGAGAGTGAGAAGCTTGGGGATGCAGCGGAAGGGGGGTGACGATAGGCATTTTTTGTCTCCTGAGAGACCGCCCAGGATGAGCTGGAGGGGAGTATAACCAGTTGCTAAGCCACCCACTGAAACCACTCATCCGGAACCCGGCCCCCTGCGTTTTTCCTTCCCTTCTGTTGATCTCTTAGTGGGAAAAATACTTGTAAAGAGTTTCTTCAGATAATTTGTCTTTTTCAAGAAATAAAACATCGCTGAGGAAGTTGTGGTCCTGTGCGTTCCCCTGCCCAGTCCCATTCCCCTCCCGCTCTCCCCAGAGGAAACCGCCACCAAGAGGTTGGCATATATCCTTCCTGACCATGTTTTCGTACTTGTACTGTGTTTGTACTGTGTGTGAGCGAGATCGGGTTGGTGTGTGTGTTTTTAGAATTCACACCCATGGCTTTGTAACGTACGGATTATTCTGCAACTTCCTTTAAAAAGTTTTACATTCTGTTCTGGTACCTATAGGTGTAATTATTAATTTTAATGGCTCTGTAACATTTGAATGGTGTGAACACGTCACGGTTTATCTGGTCCACTGTTGTTGGACATTGGGTTGTCTTTAGTTTGTTTAAACTTTTTTTTTTTAAAATATATGTTTATTGATTTCAGAGAGAGGAAAGGAGAGGGAGAGAGTGAGATAGAAACATCAATGATGAGAGAGTCATTGATCAGCTGCCTCCTGCACGCCCCCGACTGGGGATCGAGCCCGCAACCCAGGCATGTGCCCTGACTGGAAATCGAACCCCGATCGCCTAGATCCTAGGTCAACACTCAACCGCTGAGCCACGCCCAGCCAGGCTGTTTAAACTTTTTTTGAACAGCATGTCCAGCGGCCTACTACATGTCTCTCTGAGTAGGTGTAGGAGAATTTTGGTAGAAGTTGACTTTCTCTTAAGTTCTTATTCCCTCTACTCGAGCTCATTCCTGGAGCTAGAACTGAACTGCCTTACAAATTTGATTGTATTATTATTTTTAAATAAAGAAGTTAGTAAGATGTGTTCTTGAGGATCCCTTTAGGATCCCTTTGGGAGTTTGGAAGTCCCTTTTTGGTGCAGATTAGTTTCTTAAGGAGCCTCTGTCATTGGCTTTTACCTCCATTTTACCATACAGAATGGGTAGAAGCCATCATGAGTCCTCTGGGCTTGTCCCAGCACTGACATCTAACCTAAAGTGACACTGACCTGTAAGAGCTTGGATGGAGATTTTATTATGACAGTGATGATGACGATGATAGCGAACATTATCGAGGACTTGACATATCCACGNTGACCTGTAAGAGCTTGGATGGAGATTTTATTATGACGGTGATGATGACGATGATAGCGAACATTATCGAGGACTTGACATATCCACGCTGTTGAGCTAAGCACTCTACACACATCATTTTATTTAATTTTCCCGACAACCTATGACTAAGCACCACTCTTATCTTTACCTTACAGGTACGCAAGCTGAGGCACACAGGTTAAGTTAGTGAGCTAGTCTCACGTCTAGTAAGCAGCAGGCCCAATATTATAGAATTAATGTTTTTCCCCCGCTCTACTTTTTATTTTGAGAAATTTTATGCCTGTAGAAAAGTTTGTAGATGAAAACAGTGAGCACCCGCATTCCCTTTACCTGTTAACGTTTTGCCACATTTGCTCTTTCTCTTTCCGAGTGTGTGTTTATGTGTCTTATGTACTTTTTTCCCCTTGACCTTTTGAAAATAAGTTGTAGATATCAGGACGTTGATTTTTACCTCTAAATGCTGAAGTGCGCACATCTTAGGAACAAGGATGTTCTGTATGACTATGATGTCATTACTATGTATGAGGAACGTTAACATTGACCCAACATATTACCTCATGCGTAGTCCATGCTCACATTTCCCTTACTGTTTTAATAAAGGCTTTTGGAGCTGTACCATTATTTCCCATCAGGAAGCACATGATATCTGTTTGCTCCATCTTTTGGTGTTTATGCTCCCAGAGTGTCATTGCTTCTAGGCCCTTGCAATGGACAGAGCTGGGAAATAAATATTTACATATTTAAAACCAAGTGTTCATACTGATAGTTCCAGTTCAGCCCAACTTCCTCACCTCTCCCCGTCCCACATTTGTGTTTCTCTTCGGTGGCAAGAACCCTGTTCCACAAGAGCATCAATCTGTGACCTCATCTGTCCAATGCCGTGGTACGAAAATAGATTCAGAATGACTCTCACTGTCGTTTCTGATTGCAAACCCATTAAGTAAAGTTCATGGTTTCTTTGGAGTCTTTTTGTCCCTAGAATATATCCCATTAAGGGTGTACAGTCAGTATTGTGTTCACAGTTGCAGGAATTCATTTTCTGTGTAGTTGAACTTACTACAAAGTTAGTTTCATTTCTTTCTTATTGCGTTCAGTTTTGTTTTTTTTAATCTTTGTCAATTTAATTTTATTTTTTTCAACGTGTGAAACATTTACAAGATTTAAAAGTCCTGGCTTCTTTCTCTAATAACATAATGTTTTTGAGATTTATCTGTGTTGCATGTATTGGTGGTATTTTTTTTATTGCATTATATAAGTACGCAGCTATGTGTTTATCCATTTTGGTGATAAATATTTGAATTTTCAGTTTTTTTCCATTATAAATAAGGCTGCAGCTAATATTCTTATACAAGTCATTTGGTAGCCATACGGTTTCATTTCTTTTGGGCAAGATACTTAGGATTGGATTTACTGGGTTACACGATAGATGCATATTTGTTTAAGTTTTAATTATATGCGTCTTGATTAGTGGTGAGAAAAAGTGTTGTCACTTAAAATACGCAATTGGGTAGGTCAGACTTTCAAAGTAGAAGTTGTTTGAGGGAGAATCTGATAAACAGAGCACTGTGCTGAGATGATGGACCGTGTTTATTTCACTCCTCGCATTTCATACAGGGAAAGGAGAAACTCACTAATTGGGTTTGTTTTAGTGCTTCGGTGAAATCCGATAATGAATAGAGACCTATTTTCACTAGTGTAGCGCTTTATTTGTTTTCCCCCTTTCTAATGGACTATTTTAGAAGAAATGGAGCTGTCACCCACATCAAGATTCAGAACACGGGTGACTACTACGACCTGTATGGTGGGGAGAAGTTTGCCACCTTGGCTGAGCTGGTTCAGTACTACATGGAGCATCATGGGCAGTTAAAAGAGAAGAACGGAGATGTTATTGAGCTCAAGTATCCTCTGAACTGCGCGGATCCCACCTCTGAAAGGTCAGTGGTGTTTTAGTAGACGCAGAGTCTCTGCGTCTCTCCTGCGCCATAGGTGTTATGCGAATGTGTTGTGGGGCTTCGGCTTGTACCTGTTTCTCAAGCAGCAGTCTGTGTAAAAAATTTTTAAAAAAATTTTCAATTACACTTGACATTCAATATTATATTAATTCCAGGTGTACAGCATCATGGTTAGACGTTTATATAACTTCTGAAGTGACTCCCCCCATAAGTCTGCATCCACCTGACACCATATATCATTATTATTGAGTATATTCCCTAAGCTGTACTTTACATCCCTGTAACTGCCAATTTTTACGTCTTAATCCCTTCGCCTCTTTCAGCCCAAGCTGTGATCTTTAAAGTTCTATTAAAGTCAGAATAATAGGATCCGATTATTCTCAGAGTGCCCTTGCCTTGCAAAAGCTCCAGTCAGTGTGACTGACACTCATTCTAGGGCTCTCAGTCTATTCCTATGTATCCTTAGGACGTGCAGTAATTCTGAGACTACTGAACTTCAGCTGCTAATCTTTGAGAGCTACGAGAGGGAGACGAATGATAATGGCCACACCAAAGCCCAGCAGTTCTTGGTGGCCGCTCTCCACCAGTTATTCAGCAATGCCACCAACAGATGTCAGTTTAAGCTCAGAAGTGGGGAAGCTGAGGACTCCCAGGGTCCGATTTTTCCGCAGCTCTTTTCTGTCCCACCCACAAATGTATGAGGATGACCTTGCTTAGCGGGAATTGTATTCCTTCAGAGCTCCCCCACCACTCCCCACTGTTGTGTTGGAGCTGAGCTGATGTAAGCTGAAGCTTGACTTAATTTGTATTGATTTTATTGCTTTTCTACGTTCCCATCTCTTCTGACTCAGTACAAATTCAGGCTCTCTTAATTAGGTTTGTGGATTTTGTATCTTCGGGTAATTTTCTTTAACCTGGACCTCTGTGTCAGTGCTATTATATGCTGATAATTTGTTTCTCCAGCTACCCCTGTAGCTTCAAGCGAAAGGCTGTCCACCACCTAACTGCACAGTTTATTTCTAAATTTTACTCTGTCTAGTTGAGGGTGGATGAAAAATAACTCAGGGTATTTTCCTTTAGTCATGAGCCATTAGCATCTGCCAAGACAGTACTTGTTTTCTTACCAAGATCCTGAGGGGAAAAGCTACCTTATTAACATGACTGTTAAAATTTTTCTGTAGTCTCTCAAAGTCTGCCCTCGAATGGCCTACTGGACTCTGTGTGCTGGCTACGAGTGCAGATTGCTGGGCCTCATTCAGTACTATATTGGTATCTCTGGTCGTGAGCAATGGGAATTCACATTTGTAGCAAAATCCCTCACCCCTACTCTAGGTCTTATAGGCATTAAAATTTGCAATGATAACCCAGCATACAGGCCAGAGATGTTGCTAGCAAACCCAGAGGCTGTCCAAGTACAGGTTGGAAATCTGGAAAAATTTGAAATGCCTGAATTAACTTATAATGAGGATCTTTTTCGTATCTTGTTCACATGCCAGAGGAATAGCCAACATTCAAGTAATCACTGTCTCTGCCATGACTTTCTATTGTAATTTCTTTAAATGGCTGTGATTAAGTAGTTGGTCCTTTTAGTGCTGGGTGTGGAGAACTGACATATTTTTAAAACGTGAGAGATGTAAAAGAAAAAGGAAAGGTTGAGGACATCTGTCTGCAAATGACTGAGGGCTCATTGAAAGAGTTGAATGGTCATTCCTGACACCTTTGTCATTCTTCCTACCTGCTTAGGTTGCAAAATCGCTCAGTCCCCTGGAAGAATTTGTTTGTTTTTAAATTGTGTTTAGGAGACCTGACTATATATAGTAGTTTCGTGAAAGAGTGTCATGATCCCATGGCAAAACTGTATTTATTTTCATTCTTAAAAATGTAGGTGGTTTCATGGACACCTCTCTGGGAAGGAAGCAGAGAAGTTACTAACTGAAAAAGGAAAACATGGTAGCTTTCTGGTACGTGAGAGCCAGAGCCACCCTGGAGATTTTGTTCTCTCTGTCCGAACTGGCGATGACAAAGGGGAGAGCAATGATGGCAAGTCCAAAGTCACCCACGTCATGATCCGCTGTCAGGTAAAGCTTTCGTTGAACTTGGGTCTGGCAAACTCGTCTTTGGGTGATTTTTCTGCTTGGAGGAGACAGACACTGTTACTTTCAAAGTTACTTTCTTTGCTCTCTTAGGCAAGGGCTACTATACTTTTAGTAATAATAATTGTTTCATCATTTCAGAACTTTATTAAATTATTTATTTCTAGTCTCTCTCTGGCCAATTAAGTCACGCCTCTGCATCACCTCTCGCCCTGCAGTGTCTAATCTGTTTCTGCTTGACTAGTAGCTAGAGTCGGCCTTAGTCTCTTTCTCTAAAGCAGTGGTCTCAGTTCCTCCTTAGGAGTGCCCCACTCTTGCCTGTGACTGCGTTTGCCTTCATAATCCAGAGTTCCTGCATTAAGGATGGGAGAATTGAACACTGTGTTCTTTGTCATGTACAACCACTGAAGTCTTTGTTTGGTTAGTTTATTGGTCAGTTAATGATTGGACAGAGTTCCCTACATGTTTCAAACCATTAAGTCTCCCAGCCTTTGCCAGAGGGGGCTGTGTGTGTGTGTGTGTGTGTGTGTGTTGGTATGACTTCAGTACTATGGCAGCTTAAAACTCTGCCTTAGCTTTCATTTCCTGCTGTGCAGAAGTTTGAAGTCAGTGAGAGAGGTGAAGATTGGGGCCTTCTCAGATCTTTCTTGGACTTCACATAGCCCTGCACGTTTACATGGCTTTTTAGATTCACAAGAATATGTTGGAGGTTTTCAGAGCCCCCTGTGGTCATAGCCTAGATTTCCCTCTTACGTTTTTGGTCTGTGTTTTATTTGCCCTAACTGGTATTGCCACATGAGGCAGCCATGATATTAAACAGTTGCTGCTGATTGTTTTTGGCAGATCCCCTGAAGACAAGGCTGAGTGAGCTCTGAGTCAGTCAAATAAAATCTCTCAAAACAGGGCTTTTCAAGGGAGCTGCCAAACAGGCCAAATAAGGACCATTCTTTGGGGATAGGTCGTCCAAATCCATTCTGTCCCCTCTAGTTGTCTTAAGTCGCTTGTTTTCATAGCTACTATGATCAAAAGGCTGCTCGTTTTCAAAGCTACTGAGGTAATGGGGAGAGGTGGGTGGGAACAGGGCAAGTTAAAAATGCCAGTTTGTTGCTCTTACCAAGATTCAATCATTTGTCTTGAATTAGATGCTCCTTGGACTGTTGCAAGTACTTCTTGAATTGTCAGAGTTCTGAAAAAGTTGATGACAATTTTTGCCAGTGTTCTCGCTGCTTTTATGGAAGAGTGGATTTTCAGAGGTCCTTACTTTGTACCCAAATATTTTCGTATATATTATTTCTAGGGTTTTGCGTTTTCTGAGTTTTTACTGTTTTCCTGTTGTTTCCCTTAAATAGCCTATTCCCATCTCCTGGTTAGAAAAAATTTCCTGGTCTCTGTTTATAATTATTAGAAGATGATAGTAAGGGCATGTATATTTGGGCCTCAGTGCTGCCTCACCTGCCCTGGTGCTTGATGTGTTTCAGAGAGAAATAGTAATTTACCTTCTTTTCAGCGGCCTTATGTATTGCCGCTTAGCCTGCAGTATAAGTAGAGGGTAAAGAATACTGTTTTTCATATTTTTTAAGCTACTTAACTCAGGAAGGAGAAACTTTCTTCTGGCTTAATTGGTGTTGGATTCTAATTTGTTGCTTCTCACACCTCACAGTGAGCTCTTGGGTTATTTGTTACAATTTTAATGTCCTTATTGCCTTTTTTCCTTGGTGTTGCCACAGCTGTCTGATCTTTCCACTACTGGGGGTGGCGGGGAGTTCGTCTCTGCACTTCAGTTGGGAAAACAGTAATCTAACATAGAAGTAATAAACGTAATTTTTTTGTGCTGAAAGGAACTGAAATATGATGTTGGTGGAGGAGAACGGTTCGACTCTCTGACAGATCTCGTGGAGCATTACAAGAAAAATCCCATGGTAGAAACATTGGGCACAGTTCTACAGCTCAAGCAGGTGAGCATATTAGAGAGCTAAAGCTCCATCTCCTTAGAGAGTTGAAAAATCCTAATGAAGGATATTCCAGATATACAGAAGTAGAACAGTATCACGAACCTCTATGTGCCTATTACCCAGCTTCAATTATGATCACTGCATCAGATCTTACTTCATTTATTACTCCATTCACTGCCTTCCCCCTGTGCTATTTGGGTACAAAGTCCAGATATCACATCATTTACACGACTATCTCCATATGTATCTCTAAAAGGCCTTCAGAGCTTTTAAAGCAAGTTTTCACCAAGTTGTCATTGTAGGTGCACCTTTGGTGAGGTTGAATTTATATCAGCAGAGTAAAGTGTGTATGAAGATTGGAAAAAGACTTTTTTCCTGACAGGACAGAAAAGAAAGTGAAACTGTATTTGAAAATGTTTATTGAGAATTACAATGTCCTGTGAACTTCCTGTCCTTGCCTTCATGAACACCAAAACAGACATCTGGTGTTTTTTTAATTTTAATTTTTTGTATTAACACTTTTTTAAAATAATACTTTCTTCATTTCACACCAATTGCTGAATTTGATTAGCCCCTCAACACAACTCGCATCAATGCTGCTGAGATAGAGAGCCGAGTTCGAGAATTGAGCAAATTAGCCGAGACCACAGATAAAGTCAAACAAGGCTTTTGGGAAGAATTTGAGGTAAGTTATTAAAAAAAAAATTATTTTTGCATGAGTTATTAAGTCCTATTTTTAATAGATGAGAAGTTGGTCTTGTGTTTGCAATGGGATCTGAAAGACTTGAATCTATGTTCTAATTCAGCCATTGATTGACATGGAACGAGTTGCTGAGGGGGCTTCTTTGAAATAGAAGGGCTTTGTGTTCTGGGGAAGGGAGCTGGCAGTTAATATGAAATGGATGAGCCAGTAGCTCCATTTGGCTCTTGGTTTGCTGGCAGAAACCCAGACAGACAAAAGGATCTAACTCCTTTGGACGGTTTCCAGCATTGACTGGGGTCTTCAGAAAGAATCCAATGCCTCATGTCAGCTTTAATTTGGGTGTTGACATTTACAACGTTGGGAAGTTAAGTTAACTGATCTCTTTCCTGAAACCAACTCAGGTGGGAGAATGTTCCCCAATGGGAATGTACAGTGTTCCTGTTGTGCTCTGGTGTGTCACTTACCAATTATCTTGTCCTCTCTCTTTTCATCCATTGGACAGAAAATTTTCTCAAAAACAAGAATTGTGCCATGTTCACCTTCATAGTTACCTCTCACATGTGTCCCCGTGCCTGGCACAGCGTAGAAACTCCATCAACAGTCCATTATTCTGTACTTCTGTAGGACTTTAGAATTTACATATATTTGTGGAACAAATGAATGAATGGATGGCCAAATAAAGCAATTTTAGCCACAGGATGTCAGATGCACTTGTTGAGATATTATTTCTGTTTTACAGATGAGGAGCCTGAGACTCAGGGAGGTTAAGTAAATCCTCTCTCCGCAAATTTGACTGAATCTCAGCAGTGGGGGTGGGTGCAGAACACTCACAGTCCTTGCTCAACACTGTGAACAGAGACTTGAACTCAGGTTTATTCTTTCATACCAGGCATTAGGTTAGTGCCTGAGGATACCATGCCAAACAAGATGGATAGGGTTTCTGTTGATGTATCCAGAGGTACTTATGCCCTGTCGTTTCTCCTTTATTTTCTTAGCAGCACTGATTATTGTTGGGTCCATTAATTTGTAAGAAGTGTAAGGTTGTGATATTTAACTTTATCATTCCTTTATTTATTAGCTGGAATAGTTCTATAAAGATAAGTTTTTCATCATCAAGGCAGAATAAATGCTCAATTCTTTTCTTTTTACTTAAGCAGTTGTCAAAATAGCATTCTCCTCCCCTCCCCTCCCCAAGTTTTTTTGGTATCAATATATACTCATGGATTTTTAACGCATTTGGCGTGCTTCTATCTATGGCGTTTATTATCTTTTTTGTTGCTCAGATTATTTTAGCTTTGCCCAGTGGGAGTTTCTGCAAGTCGACTTCTGATCGTTGCCATACAACTCTGTTAGTTTTTGCAATATTCAGGAACAGCCCCGTTGGGAGTGGCTCAGCTGATTGAGCGTCATTCTCTGCATCGAAAGGTCACCGGTTTGATTCCTGGTCAGGGCACATGCTCAGGTTGTGGGCTCGATTCTCAGTTGAGGTGCGAGGCAGCCCATTGATGTTTCTCTCCTCCTCTCTCCTCCTCTCCCTTCCTCTCTCTCTCTAAAATCAGTAAGAACATTTAAAAAAACACAGCACATGCACACGCAAACCCCACACAACACTTGTTAACTGGGGTTATTTTTCCCCAGCACTTTAAAGCTTGTTTTCCTTGGTGATTTGGTTTGTTTTTAAAGCCCAGCCTTCTCATTGTTACGCAAGCCGTTCTCCTCTGTCATTGTCTGAAGCTGTTTTCAGTTTGCACAGGCGTGACAGTCATTCCACTGACAGCCACACAGATGTCCTGATTCCTCCTGCAGCTCAGCCATCCAGCGTGTCTCCAGGAGGAGCTTACGCCTGTCCTCAAGCCCACAGTACAGTTTGATTTCCTTAAAGTGATCACATCCTGCTCAGGGGAGCTATAAATTCTCTTTCGAGATGGCTAGGTTTTATGGAAACAAGACTTTAGCTGTACCCCAAAGCTGTGTCTAGAATAATCATTCTTTCTGGTGATCTCTAGTGGAAATCTTCCCTTTGGTGACTAAGCAGTGCCACACTGAACAGCAGTCCGTGGCCAGACTGCAGCCTCGGGTTTGAAAATACTCCAGGATGGCGGGCGGGAGCTATACCCTGGACTTTCCATCTAGGCCTGAGCTCCCAGTAGCTCATAAAAGGGCTGCTGCCTTCCTGTGGGCAGAGCATTGCAGCGGTTAGAGGTTTTATTCCACAAGCTTCATGCTGAAGAAATTCCTTTATTTTCTTTGGACTATTTCTCTCTCTCTTGCTCTCTCTTTCCTCTCATTCTCTACCCCTACAGTGTCATGTTTCTCTCTCTTTTTTTTTTTTAAAGATTTTTTATTAATTTTTTTTTTTTAGAGAGGAAGGAAGAGGGATAGAGAGAGAGAAACATCAATGAGAGAGAAACATCAGTTGGCTGTCTCCTGCATGCCCCCCACCAGGAATCGAACCTGCAACCTTTTCGTGCAGGGGATGATGCCCATCCAACTAAGCCACACTGGCCAGGGCGTCTTTGTTGATTTTTAAGTGATTGAGTCAGTTCATAGGGTTTGGACTTTTTGAACACCATCTTAATGTCTAAAAATCAAAATTGAACCTCCTTCCTAATAACAGCAAAATATTGCTCAGTAAGACCGGGGCTCACAGTTCAAAGGAAATGCCAGCTCAGAGAAGGCAAATAGCTTTAATTAATCTGCCCTCATTTAAAAAATTTGAATGCCCATTTCATTGTCAGAGTTCTGCACACATTGTATTTTACTTCTGCCCAGGTTCCAGCTAGCTAAACACTTTTGTTATGAGCTGTGTGTCAAGGCCGAAAATTGCATTTTGAAACTGAGAGTCAAATAGCAATTTAAACTCCTGACTTTCATACCTGTCTGTGAAATTCAGATAAATGAAATGGAAATAACAGGGCTGCCGTGTTATGAAATATTAACTCTGGCACTTCTTGTAGAAATCTTTATGGGGTAACCATTTTGGCATTTATATTATATAGAAATAACTATATATATATATATATGTTGTTTTTTTCTTTTCTTTGTAGTCTGCCTTTCACTTTCTTGGTTTGCCCATTTGTGACTTCCCATTATGGATTAGGCCTGTTTGAAACCAGTGGTCCCTTGAAGAGGCACTTTTTGTCATTTTGAACATGAAACCTACCCCTTGAAAATGCTTCAGCCTGGCTTGCCCACCTTCCCATCCATTTCTGCAGCTGCTCCTCTCCCCACTTCTCCAGATCCCCTCTTCCGCCGGGCCAGTCCGCCGTGCTGCTTGCCTTAGCCCCTTCGTTCCCCGACAGCATTCCCCCCCTTTCCCTGCGGAGGCGTCCTTCCTGACTACTTGCCTCAGGAAACCGAGCTCTCTTCACTCTCTGGCTGGGGAGACTGTCACAGGGCAGGTGTCTGTGTAGACACAGCTGGCTGCCTGTGGCACTAATGTAGGAGGGATTTAATGCCCCTGGCCCTGTCCCCAAACCACTTCTGTCCTCTGGTACTTAAATTTGACAACTGACGTATATATGGCCTGCTCTGAATTAAACAGTGATAAAAGGAGGCGGGTCATAAACTCCTTGAGAACATGGGTCACATCTGCTAGTCGTTTACTGTACACCAGTACCTGCTGGCTTTCATTCTCTCTTTAAAATTAAATTTATTGGGGTAGCATTGGTNACCAGTACCCGCTGGCTTTCATTCTCTCTTTAAAATTAAATTTATTGGGGTAGCATTGGTTACCAACATGAATTTCAGGCCCACAGCATTCCAGTATGGCATCTATAAACTGTGGAGTGCTCACCACCCAAGTCTCGTCTCCTGTCGTCGTCTGGCCCTCTTTACTCTCCATCCGCTGCCTGGTTTTCATTCTTAATAATCGTTATTGCAAAAGGCTTCTCTTTTTATAAACACCTGTTATTCATTGTAGAAAATTGAAGCAAAAAGAACGGTAGGAAAATGGACAGGGGGGAGGGGAGGAGAAAAGTCTTTTCACTTAACACTTACTCTGCTTATTCTCCCACGGCGTGAAATATTCCCCCAGAACACCTTTTAAATGGCCGTAGAAAGCTCTTTTATATGAACAAACAATAGTGTTCCTTAGGCAGCTGTTTCCTGTTGGACGTGTTTGTTGTTTCTGATATTTTTGCCGCTATTGGTACAGCGTTAACCTGAGCATTCTTAACAGCTATTGCACAGGACTGTGCACATTTCCTGGGATAAATTCCTTACAGCAGAAACCGAGCCAGGCTTTTCTTTCTTTAAGCTTTTGATGCATAACAATATTTGCTTTTGTTTCTCCCTAGACACTACAACAGCAGGAGTGCAAACTTCTCTATAGCCGAAAAGAGGGCCAGAGGCAAGAAAATAAAAACAAAAATAGATATAAGAACATCCTGCCCTGTAAGTATCAATATTCTTCTCAGTCAGTGTCACCCTTGGAGATTTTGATTCTCAGCACATCCAAGGCCTTAGCCTCTTTTAATTGTGAGCCGTTTCCAAAATAATCAACTGTGACAGGGACTGATGGCCTCATTCACCCAATTCCCGTGATGCTGATTACTGAGTGAAATTGCCACGAGGAGGTTTTGAGTGCGGTTGTTTTCTTCTGTTAATTCCTTTTGTTGGCCTCAGAGCGACGATCTCAAGGCTTGCCATCTCCCAGTGTCGGGTCCCAGGCCGTATCCTTGCTCTGAGTACCTGGCTCATGGGTCTTGGGAAAGGCACCCCTCCTTTCTGAGGCTCTATTCCCTCATCTGCAGAACAGACAAGCTCCTCCTGAAGTCTCTTGCAACTGTTCTCCCTGATGTCCGAGTGACTGGAGATTTTGGTACATGCCTACACTTGGCTCAGAAGGAGTACCTCCATTAACACCCAGGTGCTGCCAGGTAGCGCCCAAGGGAACCATGGGGGGAGAAAAGAGGCCCAGAAGGATGGAGGCCATGTACAAGGGTCCCAGAAATGGCACTCAGCAGTTGTCACAAGATTCTCATGTACCCTTACCCAGCTTCTCCCAGTGGTAATATCCTATATACCCATAGTGCATTATCAAAACCAGGAGAGTGCCTGACAACGCTGCTGTAATATTCTTAAAGGAAGCGTTTTGAGGCATCACGTGGTGTTCAGAGTATCATTATGCTTACTTAGGATTTAAATTTTTACGTGGTTACCATTAAATGAACACAGCTCGGACTATGTTGAGGGTGAACGGATTTGAACCGATCTGTCCTGAGAGGTCCGAGTGTTTTGTGACTGTGGGCTCCTTCTTTTCCAGTTGATCATACCAGGGTTGTCCTACACGACGGCGATCCCAACGAGCCTGTGTCCGATTACATCAACGCCAATATTATCATGGTAAACTTGGCTTTTCAGTGTCTTCTCACTATACATTTTAATTTTAATTTTAAATCCTTCTGTGTGTCCCGAAAGCAACTTTCAAATGTTTGACGGATCTTCTTCCTAAACTTCTAGCCTGAATTTGAAACCAAGTGCAACAATTCAAAGCCCAAAAAGAGTTATATTGCCACACAAGGCTGCCTGCAGAATACGGTGAATGACTTCTGGCGGATGGTGTTTCAAGAGAACTCCCGAGTGATTGTCATGACGACGAAAGAGGTGGAGAGAGGAAAGGTATGTTAATTACATACTCTACTGATAAAATATTTTAGTATTGCTCACGTCAGGTTGACCATATTAAGAGCTGGATAGACAAGTTAAGCTTAAGCTAACTGACCCTCTAGAAAAAAGGGCGTTGAAGATATTTGATGATGACCTGCCTTGGGGTAGTTTTCTTTAGGTTTCTTCTACTTCGGGTTCATTGAGCTTCTTGAATCTGTGGATTTACTTTTTTTTTTTCAAATTTGGACAATGTTTACTATTTCTTCAGATATGTGTACCCCACCCTGTCCTGGGACACCAATTACACGTATATTGGGCTGTTTGAAGTTGTTCTACAGCTCACTGAGGCTTTGTTCATTTTTTCTTATTTCTCTATTTTTGCTTCCTAGTTTCATTTTGGATAGTTTCTTTTGCTATGTGTTTAACCATTTGTTTAACATGTTTTGCTCTATGTTTAATCTAGTACTCCTGTCCAGTGTATTTTTCAGCCAAACATTGTCCTTGCTACCTCTAGAAGTTTTATTCGAGTATTTTTAATATTGTCTATGTCTCCTTCACAAGTGCCTCATTCCCTGTGCCTTTGAACACGTGGAATACATTTATAATTGTTTCAATGTCCTTGTTACTAGTCCTATTATATGTGTCATTTCATTTTTCCAATTTTTCAGTGGTTTAAGGTGGGAGAGTAAATCCAGCCCTGTTACTCCGTTGCCAGCAGTGGTCACGAAGGGAGTGTAAGGAGGAGGCCTGTCTAGTACTTTTAGGTGCTGAGAGAACTAAGTCAACAGTGGTTTCACTGGTCATATAAATGGTACTGTTTCTGACTTGTAAGCTTTTACAAATTAACTTGAATTATCTGAACAGTATATTCATATAAATATTCAAGTACAGTTAAGGTTGAAGTTGCCTTTGCCATCATCCCTCGTCCCCCCAACTTTAGTCTTCTCCTCCTACATGAGCCCTGTTTGACATGTGGCATTCTACACTCTCTTGGCATTTACATATGTGCATTATTAAAGGCATTGCAATAGGCACTGGGTACCTACCTTTACATATGTGTGCCTTTAGATACACATATGTACCTATGGAAGTGTATAGGACTATTTTCTGAAAAATACTGTATGAAAAAGTGCTGCCCGGCTGGGCCTGGCTCAGCGGTTGAGCGTTGACCTAGGATCCAGGCGATCAAGGTTCGATTCCCGGTCAGGGCACATGCCCAGGTTGCGGGCTCGATCAGTGACTCTCATCATTGATGTTTCTGTCTGTCTGTCTGTCTCTCTCCTTTCCTCTCTCTGAAATCAATAAAGATATATAAAAAAAAAAAGACTTAAGAAAAAGTGCTTTCGTACAGTAACTTTGTTGTGCATCTTGGGCGGTTTTCCCCCACTACATACATGTTCTAACTTCTGTAAGTACGTGCTGGTCTNTGTTTTTTCCCCCACTACATACATGTTCTAACTTCTGTAAGTACGTGCTGGTCTGTCTCATGGTAACTGCATGATATTTCGTGGTCTGTACATATCATCGTTTATTCAACCATCATGTACTGGGCATGTAAGTATTCTGGCTTTTGCTTTTATAAACAGTGCTGAAGTGAACAGTCTTGTTCTTGCTTTTGTGTCCACGTGGCAAGTGTTTCTCTAGGATAGACGTCAAGAATTGCTAGGTCATAGGGTGTGCGTGTTGTAAACTTATGAAGGTTCTGCCAGACTGCCTTCCAGAGTGGTTGTCCCAGTGTGCACTCCTCCCCGTGCCCCCCCCCCCAAGCTGCATGTGCCCAGTAGCCATCTCCTCATACTCTTCCCTACCCTTCGGGCATTTAGAAATTATGTAACATCTACACATAGAGCTATCAGTCAGATCTCACCGACTGTATATCCCAAAGTCAGCCTGTCCCCACAGGTTTCTTAACGTGGAAAAGTTCTGTGGTTTTGTTTGTGTTCTAGGCAAAGTGCTTTTTAGATATACTTGAATTGGTTTATATAAAAGCCGCACAGAATGTAGCAGTCGTACATGTAAGTTAAACCTAAGGCAGGTGGGCGATTTTGGATTTCAGCCCTCCTACTGTAATTTTCTTAGAGTTGGGAAGGGCAGTGTGATTTTATAAGGTTTTCATTGTTGTGCAATAGTGGTTGGTACCCCCGAGGGCTGGTCTGGTCATTGTGAAACAAAGGCCTCCTGCACTAACATTAATTGTTCTTGAATTAATGGATAAGTTAAGACATCTTCATAGTTTCCTCTTCAGGTGAGTGTCACCTGCCCGAAGTATGGAAAGGAAAACAACTCTTTAGAGGGAGAGAGGAAGGGAGAGGGGGAAAGAGAGAAACAGAAACATTGATTGGCTGCATCCTACACGCCCCCTACTGGGGATCGAACTGGGCATGTGCCCTGACCAGGAATAGAACCAGCAACCAGCACGGGGTGACGCCCAACCAATTGAGCCACACCAGCCAGGGCTCCTGGGCTTTAGTTTAAAAACTAAAGTATTAGCCCTCACGGTTTGGAATTCCTTTGTCAAGGTTTACATCACAGTTTGGAAAAGTGGGAGTCGGGCTGCGGTACTTTGCAGCTGTTTAAAGTCAGCTAAAATGCTTGTCGAGTTGTGATTTAATTTTGTGTCTCTTGAGTGACAGCAGACCTCGGAATTGATTACAGTTAATATTAAACAGCCTTGAGTACGGTTAATATTAAGTGTTTATTTGGGGGAGAAAATTGTATCAAATCTGTCACAGGGTATTTGGAGCTATAAAACACTAGAGTGAAAGCTGAATTCAAAGCAATAATAAATAAAAGACCCCAAGCTGTGCCAAGCAAAAAAGTCACACCAGCTATTAAATTCTCCCAAACGCTCCTCCTACCGTGTTTTTCTTTTTTTCAATTGTCCATTGACTGTGGGGGCTAGTCTGCAGCTGCTCTTTTATTTCTATATTTATAACTGGGAATTTCTCTGTCTTCCTAATATACAAGGAAATTGTCTTTTGCTGATATTTGTGTCTGGTTGTGGAAAGGGAGTGGTGTCAATGACCGCACCCAGCAAAAACCCCAAAACACAAAATCATTCTTTGCCCAGGATATGTCACTGCATATATCCAGACTCATCTCTCATGGAGCGGAGTATCTTCTTCCCTGGCAGCAAGAATGATTTTTTTGGTGTCATGTTTTCCCATCTGCCTGCTCTGAAGCCAGCAGATCTTGCAGGCTTGGAGTCCCCAGGCGCCCAGTTAAGCGAAGGTGACATGTGCAGTAGGTAGCAAATGGATCTGGATATAGAAAAAGCAGCTGCTTCACAGCCCAGGCTGCTGGAGGTATTTGCACTTGGGGTAGATAAGGCGCGGAGCCCTCCTACGCTGGGGTGGAAATGAACCAGACTGTCTGGCTCAGTGGGCAGCCCATCCACCTCCAGAATCCTCACTTGCCTCCCCTGCAGAGCAGCTGGCAGATCTCTAGGCTTCAAAACCCAGTGGTGGCTAGACAGCACCCTCAACCTGGCCATTCCCTCACTTTGCATCTTTGATTCTTTGGAAATAAATAAACAAGCATTGACTCTCCTTTGACCTGGCTGTGGGATTGGACAATGGCAGACGGCCTCTTTCCCCTTCCCCCTGCTTCCCAAGTACTCGCCTTCTACTTTGAACTCTCCTTTCCTTTTCTTTGGAAATCCACCAGCTCACTGTTACGCCATTCTCCGTATGAGTGGGCAGTAAGCGAGACTTGGACATTTGCTTTGTGCTGGTTTAGGCTTTTCTTTCAGAGTTCACAGGGATTAACTGTCTTTTTTTTCTGATTCCTTCCAGAGCAAATGTGTCAAATACTGGCCTGATGAGTATGCTCTGAAAGAATACGGGGTCATGCGCGTTAGGAACGTCAAAGAAAGCGCCGCCCATGACTACACGCTAAGAGAACTTAAACTGTCCAAGGTTGGACAAGTAAGTATATTGTCGTATTTTAGAGACTTTGGGAACCGCTTACGGTGTGCGGCAACCCAGGGCTATACAGTTACACATCCATCCATCCACTCACTGATTCAGTAGCCATTTATCCGGTGCCTTCCATGTGCCAGGTTCTCTCGAGGCACTGCTGGTACATTGCAGGCAAGACATACAGCCTTTGCCCTCGGGGGAGACAGTGGTTAAAATGTGAATGACCAGCTAAGCTTTCTGACTGTGCCGTCTGTGGAGGCACAGGATGGTACGCTGGAGAGTGAGTGGGCACTTGAGATGGAGGAAACAGGCCTCTCTGAGGGGGTGTCATTTGAGCTGAGACCTGAAGGTGGAGGAGCCAGGCATCCAGAGAGTCAGGAGAGCAGGGTCCCAGGCACGGGGAGCAGCAAGTGCAAAGGCCCCTTGATTTGTAGCTCACCAGTAACATCCAGAAAAATCTTTTTCTTGACAACAGCAAATTAAATGCACATAATTCAAGAAGAGATCCTAATTGTGGTTCTGATTCCTTGGCTGTCCTGAGGGTCACTCGTCTTGGACACTGGTCTGTTACTCTGTCCTTGTTTTAAAATCCCCTTGTAAGACATCACTTAGTATGGATTGGCTCCAGATGATGTAATGATGAATAGTGCTGCTCAGCGACCTCACCCGGGTGGACCCCGCATGTGATGCATTTAGGTTTTTGCAGTCTTGGGACCATGTGACCTTTATTAGCGATCACTGTCCTCAGAGGAGCCGTGTGCTAAGTCTCCTCCCATCTGCAGAGCAGCGGCTGTGTGCTTAATGGCTCTTGTTTAATCCTCACAGTGGTATTGTGAGAGAGATTAGTATTCCTATTTGCAAAGGAAGAAACAGGCTTAGAGATGTCCCGGTGCCACAGTGAGTGTGCACGCTGGGATTGGGGCCTACACCCAGCCATCTGACTGCAAAGCCTGTCTTCTTACCTACTTTGTACTCAACAGAAGTTTCAAATGTCATGATATTATAAAAGTGTGTGGCTTGGGGAGGGGAGGAGGTTTGCGCACAAAAGGACAAAGAGAAACGAGGGATGAGGGAATACCTGTTCTCTCACGTGGTGGGAGGAGAGCCCCGGGTCCCAGAGGCCTCTGTCGCCTCCTAGGTTGAGCGGCACAGGGACAAGGAGGATCGGGGATCAGGGACGTTGCCCACTGCGCATAGCTTAGGGCTGATTCAGGTTGGAGTTTCCTGAAGGACAGATTGCTGCACTAGACATCTGGGTTCTGTGACAGAGGCAGAGCATTGTCTCCAGGACTGCTCAGCCAGATTCAAAAAGGGGAGAGATCTGGGACCTTTAAGTGAAATGGGAGGGGCTTCTGTGCTGCCAGCTCCCTGGATCGTGTGGGGTCTGAGAAAGATAGAAGCCGGGCAGTGTCTCAGTCCCTTGATTTATTTAATTCTTTTCTGGTTTTTCTTGGCTCTACTCCAGGGGAATACAGAGAGAACGGTCTGGCAGTACCACTTTCGGACCTGGCCGGACCACGGAGTGCCCAGTGACCCCGGGGGCGTGCTGGACTTCCTGGAGGAGGTGCACCATAAGCAGGAGAGCATCATGGATGCCGGGCCAGTGGTGGTGCACTGCAGGTGACACCCCCCCCCCAACCAAGTCCACAGTCTGGCCCATCTCCTAACGACCAGGGCTGCTGCTTACCTACCCACCCTCAGCTCTCTAACTGAGGGAAAAAATTTAACCTCTGTTTGAGGCATGGATAAGCTACATTAAGGGACACTTTGACCCAAAAGTATATTTCTTGTAGATTTTACAGGACTGCTGGGTACTGGGGTGGCGGGACGGAGTGGTGAACACGGCCCTTATGCTCAAGGGCTGGCTCGGTTTTCTTTTTTAATAGAGTAGTTCAGGGCTTATCTCTTTGGTAGTGATCCTGTCTTGTACCTCAGAAATGAGATATACTTTTTCCCCAGTAATACACTTGTTTGCTTCAAAAGATTAGGACCGCTGCGGCCCCAGGTCTCTACCCCAGAGTTTGCAGGCTGCTGGAGCCCAAGTTTGGGCTTCCCAGTTCTACTGGGGAAAGCTAGGCTTCCTAAATCTCATCTCTGTGTTGGGCAAGTAGATGCATGTGAAACTTTAAAAAGCTACCTCTTATTGAGCACTTGCTTTATGCCAGACTCTGAGCCCAGTGTTTTTTATGCACAACTCACATTTGGTCCTCACAGCCACCCTATAGGGTATGCACTGTTACCCCGTTTCCCAGATGAGGAAGCAGGGGTCAGAGAGGTTCAGAGGCCTTGCCCCAGGCACACTGTGCTGGGGGAGCTGAGCTCCAAGAGCGGGCTGGACTGGCTCCAAAACCCTGCGCTGTCAGCGAATGTATTTCAACATAAATGGACAATCTTATAAATAAATACTCCCAGGAGCAGATAGTGGTCCTGTTCGTATTAATAGCTTGGTTTCGAGTATAGAACTCCCCGGGATGACTTCCTTGCGTTGCTTTGTCCTTCTGCCCCCAGCGCTGGGATCGGCCGGACAGGGACGTTCATCGTGATCGACATCCTCATCGACATCATCCGCGAGAAGGGTAGGCCCCGGGCCAGGGAGCTGCAGCTCCTGGGCTTTAGTTTACCGGCAGAAGGCACTGGGGAAAATAGCCTGGGGAAGAGCATTTGAATGTTAAAAATTTTCACCAAAACCTGGGCCAAAGACTCCAACTTCCACTGTATCTGCCAGAGAACAGCAGTGATGCTGTTGACGTTTGCGTGCAAAGTGAAGCCCAGGGTCTGTGGACCCCCCTGCGGCGGCCCTTTAGTAAACTTGCGGTGTTGGTCTCCACCCACCCACCTAATCCTTGCTGCTGGCGTGGGGTGTTGGAAAGTGGGGGAACCCTGCCGCCCACACTTTGTCACGCAGTCGTCTGGGGTGATTGGTATTGATCAGAAGGCCAGCGCTGTGGCCCTTGGAACGTACTTGGTCAGAACATTAGACTAAATCATGCCCTGTGTCTGAGCCGGCTGCACGTTGTACGTTAAACCGCTCGAGCCCGGCTCTGCCTTTTCTCCTGATTGCCGTGGTGCTTGCTTTATAGGCGTCGACTGTGACATTGACGTTCCCAAAACGATTCAGATGGTGCGCTCTCAGAGGTCAGGGATGGTGCAGACGGAAGCACAGTACCGGTTCATCTACATGGCCGTCCAGCACTACATCGAAACACTACAGCGCAGGATCGAGGAGGAGCAGGTGCGGAGCCTGCGCGGGCCGCAGACGGGTTCATTTTCTTTTCTGGGCACTTGGCACATGCCCTCCTTCTGATCAGGACGGACTCTGATAGGAGACTTTTTTTTTTTTTTAATATGTTTTCATTGATTTTAGAGAGAGAGAGAAACATTGACGTGAGAAACATTGATTGGCTTCCTCCTGCACGTCCCCTACTGGGGATTAAGCCTGCCTCACCAGGAATCGAACCAGAGACTTTTGGTGCATGGGACGGTGCTCAGCCAACTGAGCCACACCGGCCAGGGCAGGAGACTGTCTTTATTTGGGAATGGGAAACGAGTCCTCAACCAGGAAGGGCCCCTCTGAAAACTATTCCCTACTTCACAGCTCTGATTTTTCAGGCTTCAGGAGCTTGGGGAGGGGCAGCATGCTGCCATCCTGGCCTGGCAGCTTGGGGAAGTGCCACCTAGGAAGGGGAGGGTTTTCCGAGGCTCACACGACTCGGCCCTCTTAGAACTCAGAGCCTCGACGTTCCCAGCCCGTTCCAGCTTAATCCAGGCCATATTTATCCCGATTCCACCTCCTGAATGAACGCTTCACTCTTAATAGCATGCGGTGGTCGGAGCCACCAATTTGGTGGAATTGGAAACGGTGGAATTTCAGTTTTAATGAGCGTGCATAATGAAGGAGAAAGCGCCGCTGGAGCCTTGCCATCCGGAGCTATTCATAACAGACACAAAGCTGAGTTAATTAGGAGTGAGCGGAGATGAGGCAAGTGAGGAGACTGCTCTTTTGGGGAGCTCGGCTTGTCTCCCTCCCCTCTCCTCCTCCACCCGAGCCCCGCTGCTAAGCTCAAAACGGGAACTAAGCTCTTTTCACAGTGGGACCCACCACCTTACTGAACGATTTCTAGCCCAGCAGACCAAAGCTTGGTCAGCCAGTTAATTAGTTCAGTAGATTCTCAGTCCATGCCAAAATACTGGATTGTTTCATTGTAGGAAAACATCATCAGAGACACTATGATAGAAACGTAAGGACAGATCATTAATAAGCTACTGGTTTTGAACTTCCGCGCTTTGAATCTGACTGTGTTGTTGCAAGTGCTGTGGCATATTTAGGTGGTTACGCTAGGCTATCATGTATTTATCTTCCAGTTACACCTGTTTTGGGCCCGGAAGAGTTAAAGCGTAAAGTGGCCCAAAGAGGACTCCTGATAGATACAGAGAGAGTGCGGCACTCTGGGTACAAAGTGGAAACTGGTTAGGAATGTTTTGAAGCACATGATGTCCTCATGGTGGGAAAAGCTAGGGGAAGCTCGCTCTCTTCCATTCAGAGGCTTTGGTTCTTATCCTTGTTTTGGAGAATTTAGGGACCTCCCTTCCCGGCTTTTATATAGCACTTTGGATCTTCTCATGACCAAATATGGTCTTTCCGAACCTAAGTCTGAGGTTATAATTTGGATTTACAAACTAAGAATCTTTTATCACTGCCCTTTTTTGGAGGAAAGAAGTACACACAAGCAAAACTTGTTCTCTAATAATTTAAGTATTACAGAATTTAGGCTTAGAAACTGAATGTCCTCTATAATCCCACCCAGGAGAGCCGGGATGTGTTGCTTCATTCATTCAGTCATTCATTCAGCCAGTACTATTGTGGTGCCATATGTGCTGGCCCTGTGCTGAGCACGTTAACTACTGTATGGTATATGAGCCTCCATATTTTTTTAATTTTTTTTTTAATGTTTTTATTGCTTTATAAAGAGAGAGGAAGGGAGAGGGAGAGAGAGAGAAACATCAATGATGGGAGAGTCATCTTTGATCGGCTGCCTCCTGCACACCCCCTACTGGGGATCAAGCCCACAACCCGGGCATGTGCTCTGACTGGGAATCGAACCGCTATCCCCTAAATCATAGGTAGATGCTCAGTCTCTGAGCCATGCTGGCTGGGCTCTCTGTGCCTTTCAGTTATATGGTTCAAAGTCACCTGTATGGTGTATTTATATTGAGGATGTGAGTTTTCTAACATTTGGTCAATGTTTTCATATTTGGGGTTAACCTGTCTATCTGTCTCTCTCTCCCTTTCTCTCTCTGTGAAATGACTTTTTTGCTTTTTTATTTCATTAAAAATGTCCCATGTCCTCACCTATGCCATCTTCACTTTTCAGAAAAGCAAGAGGAAAGGTCACGAGTATACAAATATTAAGTATTCCCTCACGGACCAGGCGAGTGGAGACCAGAGCCCCCTCCCGCCTTGCACCCCAACACCATCCTGTGCGGAGTAAGTAGCAATAAAGGAGAGTCTTTTCACCTGAATATAATTCTGTAGAAAAGCTTAACAAACTACAAGTCTTTGTAGCACACACCTTTCATTGAATTGTTGGCTGACTGACTTGTGAGTAGATCAGTGGCTACCAAAATATTCATTTACCTAAACTGAAGGCTGATCGACACTCTAGCTAGGATCTTAGGGGGTTGTAAGTATATCAAGTTGAGGTTCTCTAAGAAGAAACTAATTTTTCTTTTGATGGCGTGGGAATTGTTGCAGAGGTGGATAGCACCCCTTTTGATGTATTAAGACTGTTTGCTAAGTGAAAGTAAGTAAATTGACCACTGATGTGTCACCACAACCCACAGTCAACAAATGTCTACTTTGGGGTTTAACCCAGAAGTCAGCAAGCTATAGCTTCCAGGCCAAATCCTGGCTATGGCCTGTATATGTACAGCTCGCGGGTGGTTTTTAAAGGGTTATTAAAACAATTGCACACGTGCACACAGACACATGCACACACCAAGAATAATATATGACAGAGACTGTGTGTGGCTTGCAGAGACTAAATTATTTACCCTCTCGTTCTTTATGGAAAAACTTTGCCGACTCCTTGTTTAAACTAAAACAAGTAAGGAAAACATTGGTTAAATCGATCATGTGAGTGACGATTGTAAGTGATTATTTTCTATGTATTCTAGACAGTCTCTGGTTTGCTTTTTTCTCCTGTAAGAGTTTTATCTCTATGCGCTTCTGATGTGGATTTTTAAACCCCTGCTGACTTTAATACTCTCTCTAAACATTTTAGATAATATAGATGAGGCCTGTATTTATATTTGCTTTCTATTTAACATTGAAATGAAATGACACAACAAAAGTGTGCTCTCCCCCATGCTGCCTCTTCCTTCAGCCTGCTCTCCTCCTTCCTGGTGGACAGACAGGGAAAGTTGGTGTTTGAAATTACCATCTGCAGTAATTTACAGTAGAACCGGCACGTCTGGACTCTGAGTCCGTGCCAGAGAGCTTCCCCCATGTTGGCCCAACAGAATCAGCTCTGACAACTCCCTTGTCACCAGCTCCTGCCTATGACTCAGCTTCTCTGTCCCTCTGTTCCGGCCATTCCCTTGTAGGGTAGAGACCTAGGGCACCCTGGACCCCAAGCCCCTTCTGCTTCTTTTGTCTCCCCCTCTCGGGCTGGTGCCCACAGCTCCTGGGTTCCCTGTTTTCCCTGGCTGCTCTGCCCTCCCCTCCCTGCTCGGCAGACAGAGTCTGGGCTCTGAGGCACTGGCCTCCATCCCAAGGCCCTAAACCCCCCACTGTGCTTCATGTTCAATGTTCCCCTTTACATAGCCAGATTCGGGTCTGGCTTCCTTTGCACTTGCCCGCCTTGGACCTCCTGCCCGTTCAGATCCTTCTGCTTGAAATGAGGAGCATTCCTTTCTGTGTATGTGTGTCCCGCCCTCCTTCAGGGTCTAACTCAGCCCTCATCGTACAGGCCTCCCTTGCTCTGCCCGCCTGGAAAACATCTCACCTTCAAGCCCCCAAGAGCAGAGGGCTTGAGGCTTGTGTTTCATTCTAACTTCACAAGTACATTCTGTCTATGTTTTTTATGCTGTTCTAGAATGCCAGCTCCTGGGGGCAGGGACTACATCTGCACCATAGCTAGTCCCCAAAGGACATGCTGTGTACCTTACCAATGTCATGTAAACTTAATCAGCACGGTCTGCGTTTCTGTCAACATCTCCTTTCTCTTCTTTCCAGGATGAGAGAAGATAATGCTCGAGTCTATGAAAACGTGGGTCTGATGCAGCAGCAGAAAAGCTTCAGATGAGAAGACCCACCAAGACTTCAGCACAGAAACAGGTATTAAAGGGAAGCGCTGTATTTGTTCGTTGTTTATAGCCCTCGTGGCATTTTTAAGCAGGCAGATATCTGTGAGTGTTTCAGCAAAGTGTGACATCATTGAGTTGTACAAGTCAGCCTCCTTTTCCTGTCCCTGAACTCCTTTTCTCCAAGCTGGATTTATTTTGGAGTTCATTAAGCATTGAAACCAAATGCAGAATTAATTCTATGAAGGGCAAGGTGAGCATTTAATATAGAGAAATGGTTGATATTGGTGATGGACACCAGGTGTCACCGTTCCTGCAATTTTTATTGGAGTTGGTTAATCCAAGTTGTGCTGGGAGATCATCTTTAGGGATCTGGGAAGTGTGGGGACACAGCATGGAATGGTTGGAGTCAGGATGCCTCAGTTCTCATCCAGGTGGCCTCTGACTGGCTGTGTAACACAGGGCACTGGACAGCCAGGGCCTCCAACTGGCTCACTCCACGTGCCTTCAGCTCTGTTGCTGGAAATTCACCTCCCTTGTCCGTCTCCTGTCAGTTACCTTTTCAGACAGTGACTCATGTGTGATGTATGTTTTAATAAGTTAGAAACTCTTGGTTTTAGGATTTCATGTTGAAATTCTCATTTCAATGAATAGTATATTTAAAAGCTTTAAATATACTTTTAAGTGCTTTAATGCCTTGCCAGACTTAGACATATGTTCATTCAAAATTCTCACTTATTTCTCCCAGATGTGGACTTCACCCTCTCCATGAAAAGATCAAGAATAGGTGCAAGAAAGTTTGCGTGAAGAATGAACTTGAACCTCGAAGGCTTGCGCTGTGGTCGCCTCCCTTTCGATGTGCAGAATCTGAAACCATTTGAAGACCACTGTATTCTAACTCAGCAACACCCGATCTCTACTCACTCATTTCCTCAGATAAATCATCTCTACAATGTAGACAGTGTTATATTTTATACAGTTTTCTTTTAAATCGAGGAAGCAGTTAGATTGTGCTCTGTACTTTGCAGATGGTGGTGATTCGAATCCTAGTTACTGGCATTTCTCTTTCTTTTTATAACCTTAACAAATTTAATTTCACCTCCTCTTTATGGGGGGGTGATGGGGCACTTGTTAGAGGGAAAATTAAGTGACAGCATCCTGTAGAAGTGAAAACAGTTACATTTATCATCACTTATCCAGTCGTGGATAATCCATTTTGATGGCCTTTTTTTGGCTAAATGATAATGAGGCCAGTGCCCCAGACTGTCTGAAGCTGACTGTCTCCCTTTGCATTGCCATTAGGAAAATCATGGGGGAAAATCATGGGAATTCAGGATCAAAGGCATGCTTTTTTATTAGCAGATGACCAATGACCATTCAGCCTGTTGTGGGGAAACATTTGCCATATATATATATATATATTTTTTTTTTTTCATTTGAGTACTGTCTTGTGTTTAGAAAAGATGCATCTGTGGATAACCAGTGTTTGGGTTATCAATGGTTGCTGAAAACCACCCCAAAACAGAGTGGCTTAAGATGATTCTTTATTTGTCTCCCACTGTTCAACCTGGACTGGGCTCAGCTGGGGGCTGTCCCTCTGCTCGTCTTGCTGGTGTCTCTCTTGCTGGTCAGCAGGTTGACTGTGACACTGGGTGGCTGGGCCCCTTCTCTGCATGTGGTCCTCGGTCTCCTCCATGTGCTCCCTCCATGTGACCTTGCCAGCAGGGTCACTGGGCCTCTTATGTCACAACTCAGAGCTCCCAAGAGTATGAGGCAGTAGTGGTCAGGCCTGCTTACGACAACCCCAGAACCGTCAGAGTGTCACTTCTGCTGCCCTCTGTCGAGTAGAGGAAGTCACAAGCCCAACCCAGATTCAGGAAGAGGAGAATCCACCGGGCATGAGGTGGAGGTGCAGTTCATCGAGGTCCCCAGCCTAACAGACTGTCAAAACCAGTGCGGAGGAAGAAAACCATTGTTAGCAGAAGTAGAAGCTGCTAGTGAGTGACCCTGGGAAGCTGACACTGCTTGCTGTAGCTGGTGTAAGCTGGAAGTCAGAGAGAGAGGGCCTTCTAGAAGCTTCCTGCACCAGACCTGCAAGCTCTGAGCATCTTTTCTGAACCATCAGTTGGGGAAACTGGTCTCGTGAGGATGGATGTGTCTGGGGGGGAGCAGAGCATTCGAAAGCACCGCCTGTCACCGCGGCCCCCGCCGAGGGAGGTGTGGGTGGTGCTGTCGTCACTCCACTGATTTCCGCCAGGCCACCACTCGGTCCTCATGGGGCTGCCCGTCAGATCGAATCAGCAGTAAGGTTTGCTGACGTGCTACCTGAAGTGCCTTCTCCAAAAAACAGCCCTCTTTGCCCCGTGTGTTGAATCATCGCTCGGTGAGTGCATTTCGATGGAAGTCTCACTGGTTGACCCTGTGCAGATGATAAAGCTACGGCAGCTCTGCCATGAAGGCAGTTTCCTTTCTGGAATTCTCCTTGCTGTTGCTCCCGAGAGAACGGGCTAGATCCAGCCCTGGTAGCAGTTCCCTCCTGAGTTCTTTACCTCCCTTGAAACCCGGAAACCCTTTGGGGTCACCAATGGCTGCCATTTTCACAGACGAAATGTATAGTGTCCCCCCGCTCCCCCCATGACCCTATTTTCCATCCATTGAACTTAGAATTGTTTCAGAACACAGGTGTGGCCTGCAGGTGATCACCTTGTAAGAGGAATGTAATGACCACTGTCCCCTCTCCAGGCCTGTCAAGAGATTCAAGTTCTGTGTTTGCGTCAAGGACCGTGAATCCTGTTCTTTCACTTTGTCATATTGGATGGTTCTCCTCTTTGCTTCAATTTCATGGAAATGTTTTTGACCCTGGACTTTGGCGGGGGGGGCGCCAAGTCTTTCACCAGCATACAAGGGTCTGATTGTATAAATAATCCTCCCACTGCATGAAGCCTCTGCCTGTCGCTTTGGATCGGTGCTTTCTGCTCTTGGAAGGGGGACACCTGATCTCGGCGAGCTCTCCGCGTGCCAGGACACTGATTCGTTCAGATCTCCCTCCATGGCGTCCGCCAGCTGTCGCGCTAGGACGGGGTATGCCAGGATAAGATTATGATGATCCCGAGGTTGCTAAGGTTCGCTGTGTGTTTGGTCAAAGGGGATTGCAGGTTCTCAGGTGAGATTTCTCTCTGTGGGATGGAATCAGTCAGGTGAAGGTTGGGGGGAGCGCGATGTGCGGGTTTAAAAAATAGTGGAAATGAAAGTTCCAAAGAGGTGGTTTCTGAGGCCGTCCAGGGGCCCAGGGCTGGAGCAGCCAGTAATAGTCAAAAAGCAGGTTCCCTGGAAGACAGGTGTGAGAGAGACATGTTTGGGATGCTGGTGGACATTAAATTTGCACAATACCCATAGCTGGTTGGGGATTTTAAAATGATAAGCATAGGATTTTATATTTGGGGTAAAGAATGACCTGGCACGTGGCATTTGTCTTTTTTTTTTTTAAAAAGTGAAATTTCCGTCTTAATAACTTTTATAAAAAATAAAATATAAAAAGACCTTCATATCCAGTGTGTGGCCCTCCTGAAAATTATGGTCATCTATCTGTTCCATGGAAATCAATGACTTTTCAAAGGTGGTTAAATGGGATTGAGAAAATTATATGTATGACTTTCTCTGCATTTTACATTCTTTAAGGAGCCCCTTTGCTTTGGAAAAGCCAGGAAAGTTTTTTGGGGTTTTTTAGGGGCGATTTTCCTGGGGATTTTAAGAATAAGATAAGGCCTTGGGTTATGTCTAGTCCGGGGGAACGCGGGAGGGTATGCAGCTGCGAAGTGCTTTGCTGTAGCTAATTAATCCGCAGGGGGACTTAGACTAGACGTAAGTGCAAGCCCGGTGCAGTTTTCTGTATGTTGTTGGGGGAATAAAGTTTTCCAGAGCAAGCACATGGCCTCCCTGAGTCGCCGATGCCTTTGTTAGGACCTGTAGTAGCTCTCTATTTTTTTGAGAAATCTTCTCTCCTCTTCCTCTTGAAAAATAAGTTCCAAAATGTAGTTTCTTGCTCCTTCCCTCATTCAAACATCTGCTCTTTTACTCGCCACAGGCAGTTCGCACAAGGCAGCGCCGTTCAGCCGCTGGTTCCCGCGTGGTGTATAACTTTGCTGTGTATCAAACTAATTTTTACAGGTTTCCGTCCTAAACCTCATGTCATGTAATGAATCACCCGCCTGTTTTATTTATGACCTAATTGTGATTCCTTTATTAATAAAAGCGAATGGTAAAGGATCCTCTATTAAGCTGACGACTAGACCCATACTTAATTTTCCTGCAGCATATGAAGTATTGTACCAGAGTATTAAAAGATATGTAATATTTTATTGATAAATCTATCCTTTAAAAGGAATACGTTTTAGGATGTCATCATTTTGATGTGAAATCATGTAAATGTTGATAATATGCACTGTTTATTATACATTTAGTGTTTCAAGAGTTTCACTTAATTGCCTTTTTGCCCACGTATATTATGTAGTCTATTTGCAATTGTTTTTAAAGAAGTGACATTAAGAGAATAGTTTAGAGAAACATTAGTGGATGTTGTCTCCCCACCTGTATTTATGGGTGTTAGTTCAACCGCTTTGCTAGTTGCAGAGCCGTTACTACCAGAGTACAAGTGTATTTGTAAACTGTATGGGAACTAAATTAGGAATAAAACCATTTTCTTATATGATGGCACTTGTCGTTTACTTCATCAGACATGTCCAGGAAACACCGGGATTACAGGTCACTCAACCTCTTACATGGGCAAAAGTGCCGGGATTGATTGTAATTCTCAGTGGGGGTGAGGAGAACAGGCTGGGAAAGGCATTCTCAGCACCCCAGGGTGCTGAAGCCACCGTGGGAGACCAGTCATAATGATACTGGCTGGTGAGCTGAGAATTACTTCAGATTTTTTTTCAGATTTAAAAGCCCAAACAGTATGCGTGCGTGCATCCATTCAGCCGCTTTTTAATAAGCACAGTGACTCAGGCACCGGGCAAGGTGCTGCGGGGAATACAAAACAGGTCTCTGCTGATCCCTGTCTTAGAGGACCTTGTGGCCGCTTAGGGAAGGGAGGCACACGGGCGGAATGCGAGATGGGCTGAAACTGCCGCCCTGAGGCCCGGATCCCGACCAAGTGAGGGAGTGACGAAACACCATTTACTAAATGACAGTTACGTGCCAAACATTACTGGAGGGTTTATACAGATTATTTCTAAGCCTGCTTTGCTCACTGCGGGGCACCTGCGTCAGTAACAAACCCATGTAACAAATTGATGCAGACTTTCCATTTAACAGATCTGGAGGTCAGAAATCTGAACCCAGTTTCACTGAGCTCAAGGCAAGGAGTTCGCAGGGGTTCGTTCCTTCATCGGCCCCCTTGCCTCTTTTGGTTCTAGAAGCGTCTCACATTCTTTACCTCCTGGCCCCTTCTTCCATCTTCAAAGCCAGCGAAGGCCGGTCAAGCCTGACGCCGGCATTTCTGCCTCCCACTTTCATGAATAAAGATCCTGATGATTACATTGGGTCTGCCCAGTTCATCCAGAATCCTCTCCCCATCTCAAGATCCTTAATTTAATCGCATCTGCAAAGTCCCCTTCGCCGTGTAAAGTGCCGTATTAACAGGTTGCAGGGATTAGGATGCAGACATCTTTGGGGGTGGGGGACATTATCCTGCCTCCTACAGCACCCTTAGGCCTCAAGGACACGGGTGGGGGGTGGGGTTCCTGGGAGTAGAGGTCCCCAGCAGAGAGTTGCCACGTTGAAGGGCTTGGCAGGGAAGGAAGAAGTACCCCCGCCGCTCCTCCCGCCCTCTGATCTCTGCCCTCCTCCCGTTGGCCCACTAGAGCCTCACCACTCATGGTGCTACGTATGGACCGGCCCCATTGTCACCGGGGACTATTGGAAATGCAGTCTCAGGCCCACTGAGCCCACAGCATCAGAATTTGCCTTTTTTTTTTTGCAGAATCCCCAGAGGCTGTGTAGGCACATCTGTAGTTTTTGAGACGGGCTGCACTGGAGGATTTCCACCTATATTGGAAGTTACACCCAAGCTGGGTTCGTTCGCTTCTGCAGACATGGATCTGAGACTCACTTGACATGGCAAGAGGAGCCCCAGAGAGTAAGAAAAGCCCAAAGACGGGATCTCGGAGAACAAGGGGCGTCCCTCCATACAAACAGCTTCAGATATCCTCAGACATCACACCTACCAAACCGAGTGTGTGAAACCCCCGGCATGTGTTAGATCCATCTAACGATGGAAAGGCAAGAAAAAAAAAATTAAAAGGAAGCCAACTCTCCAAATAACATCTGTTCAGGAGGTGACAGATGTCTGGGTCTCGATAGACTCCTAGACTCGGAAAAAGTTTTTCTTTTTTTATCTTTATTCATGTCTGATGGGTGCTTTTGATATTACCAGCATCCCCCCCACATGCTAAAATTAATTTCCTTCTTTCTAACGGGTCAAGTCCCTCAAGCGTTACTCGGTGCCAAGTCTTTAGAAAATGTGTCACGAGGATTTCAGTTAGGGACAGAAACCTCCCCCGTGCCAGCCACACAAGGGACCCCCTGGCTGCTCTCTCTTGTGAGTCGGTTCACTGTCTTGAATACCTTTTCTGCATTTGAAAGTGGACCGAAGCCCTTCTCGGACCCGTGTCATTCCTAGCTTTAGATTTAAGAAGAAACCATCAGGTTTCTGCTGTGGGTGAGTTAAAAGAATCCGTTTGGGTTCGAGGTGTTAAGTGTGTTGGAGGTTTACAGGCTCCAGGAGCATTCCGTTCCAGGCACGGCGGTTTCGTGGGGAGACCAGGGCTTCGGAACCCAACGGGCTTTGGGTTTGTTTGCTGGTTTTGCCGCTGACCAGCTAGCTGCGGGTGGACAGGCCAGCGAAGGTCTTTGATCCTAAGATTCCTCTTTAGGGAACCAGAGGTCAAGGCTGCAGGTTCGGATCCTGGTGAGGGCACATACGAGAATCACCCAGTGATGCATCAATAAATGGAAAAACAAATTGAATCTCTCTCGCTCTCTCTTTTCCTCTCTCAAATCAATAAATAAAATTTAAAAAGAATATGAACAGAATGAACCCGTTTACTCTGCATGTTCAGCACCACACGAAAACAAATACATCCCATGTTTGGAGAAAACAATGACTTGTAGTAACTGGAAAGAAAGCATGGGAGTGATAGTCCCCACGGGGAAGGGGAAAGGATGGTGAGGTCAGAGCAGGACAAGCGGTGTTCCAATGCCCCCCAAAATGCTTGTTTTAGCTAAGTTTCCCCATGCGAATAATGTATGCATCTTGTTATATAAGATAACATATTTACATTATGACATGATATGTCTTACATATTTTTATGGCTTTTATAGCACTTCATAATGTGCTTCTGTTAGGAGATTATATGTTCCATAGATTCTCTTGAACATTTGAAATACTTAGGAGGAAACATTAAAAAAGATGAACTAGGGCGCTCGATGTGCCCATCTCCCCGCAAGCAGCGGCCGCCGCGCCAGGCGCCTGGCGTGACTTCTCCCGCTACACCTGCGCCGCCAGCAGCCCGGGTGCTACGGTCTCCGTTTTACAGACAAGTAAATCGAGGCAGCTGGCCAACGCACGTCGGTGGAGGGCTTGCTACGTGCCAGGAGCCTTGCTGTTACACCTGCGTTGTTGTATTTCGTCTTCCAGCCCCCCGCTTTAAACCGGGGTTTGGCAAACATTTTCTGAATGGGGCCAGGCAGTAAAAATTTCATGCTTTGTAGGCCCCACGATCTCGGTCATGACGGCTCCATTCTCAGCTCAGCCAGAGATGATGCATGAATGAAGTGGAGGGGCAGGGTGCCAATGAAACTTCACTGATGGACGCTGATGTTTACATTGCATTTAAGCTCCACATGTCACAAAGTATCACCTTCCTTTGGGTTCTTTTACAACCACTTAAAAATGTAAAATTTTTTTTTTAGCTCAAGGGTTATAAAAAAAAAACAGGCAGCCGGCTGGATTTGGCCCATGGGCTGTGGTTTGCCAAGTGTGGCTTTTGACGGTCAGTTCTTGGGGGCGGGAACCTTGTTGACTTTGCTCACACTGTACACTCGGCTTCTGCGACACCATCCGGTGCTCAGGACATGTCTGATGAATGAATGAGTGAATATAAGCTGGCGTCTCAGAAGTCCCGTGATGGTGGTGTTTTCTTTCCACTTTAGGCCACAACCTTGGACAAAACTAAGTGAGCATTTTTTTTAGGGGACACTATATAACACTGTTGGGATTACAGATGTAAACCGGGGCTGCCCCAGGCAAACCAGGGTGCACAGTTATTCCAATGTTTCCCACCAGCGACATCATTCTTCACCATGGTGACAGCAGGACATGGGCCTGTGTGTGTGTGTGTGTGTGTGTGTGTGTTTGCACATGCATATATGTGAGTGTTGAACAAAGGTACTGATTTTTCCCCACAACTTTGAATTTGAAAGATTTCAAGCCTGCAAAAAACCTGCAAGAATAGGGGAAGGACACTGACCACAAACTTGTTACCCCGATGGAGCCTTTTTTTTTTCTATGTTTATTGATTTCAGAGAGAGGAAGGGAGAGAGAGAGAGAAAGAGAGAGAGAGAAAAACATCAATGATGAGAGAGTCATTAATCAGTTGCCTCCTGCACACCCCCTGCTGGGGATCGAGCCTGCAACCTGGGCATGTGCCCTGACCATTAGTCAAACTGTGACCTCCTGGTTCATAGGTCAATGCTCAACCACTGAGCCACACCGGGCAGGCTGGATGGAGCCATTTTTGACATTGTGCTATGTTTATTCTATATAGCTAGCTATGTATGTATGTATGTATGTATGTATGTATGTATCTATCTATCTATCTATGTATCTATCTATGTATCTATGTATCTGTATATGTATGTATCTATATATCTATGTACCTATGTATCTATGTATCTATCTGTGTATATATGTATCTATGTATCTGTGTATCTGTGTATGTAAGTATCTATGTAGCTGTGTATGTGTGTGTCAATGTATGTATCTATCATCATTTTCCCTAAGAATCAGGGCAGACAGCAGGACACTACCCTGGAACAGTGCAGTGCACAAATCCTGAGAGCAGAGACATCCCGCTTCAGAGCCACAATGCAATGTTCACACTCAGGAAATTTAACATTGATTGTGTATCATACAGTCAATATTTTAATTTCTGTAATTGTCTCCAAAATGATTTTAGAGCTGTGTGATTTTTTTCTTTTCTTTTTGGAACCAGGACCCAACAGAAGATCACACATGGCATTTAGCAGTCCTTTGAATTCAGTCCCCTGGAAGCCAGAACAGCTCCCCGGCCTCTTTCCTGATGTTGGTATTTGAAAAACACAGGCCGTTTGTTTTGTATCAAGTGTCCATTTGGATTTGTTTGATTGTTTCTCGGGATTAGATTGGGGTTAAACATTTTTGGCAAAAATACTCCCTGGGTGATGTGATGTCGTTGGGTCCCATCAGAGGCCCGAGGTGTCATTTGTCCCATTATTGATGATGTTAACCTTCATCATGTGGTTAAGGGAAATGTCACTCAGAACAAGAAATCACTGAAGAGTGTAAACAGGAAACGACAAACAGGTCCGCGGGGTCCTATCTGGAGGACAGTTCGCCCGGCTTCAGGTCCTCCCAGGCGTGCGGGTGACTGAATTCACCGGGGAGAC